AATATATTTAGGCTCTTTAGCTATATAAGCTAGATATGTCATCATTGTACTTACAGAGCAGCCACAGCAGAGATGTTTGCTTCATCCTAACTCTCGGGGGATTTCAGATCAACACTTTGACCAGCTCACAGTTACATTGGTTCAAACCCTCCTCTTTTTCCTCTGTAACAGGATGCCACTGTTGTGGTTATCATCGAAGGGAATTTTTTTTTGTCTTTTTCCAGTTTGATTGTAACAAAGCACTGAAAATATATTATTTTAAACAACTATACTCGAGGGGAATCATCAGTACCTGTGTGATGCCTTCACTGGTAAAAACCTGCAACAATCTCAGAATTAAGGAATCAAAGAAACTTGTGGATATTTTAAACTTTGCTTGTGTTGATCATGCTTCACATCAATGGAAACAAGTTATTTTGTTCCTGTACTTGACTGTGGTTTAGCTGAGAGGAAGTGAGCTGCAGGTAGTCTGCGTAAGTGAAAGCTTTTCGCTTTAACTGCTATTTTAAGACTGTAGTATTTATTTTCCAGCATGGAGAGCTTTCTGTTATTGAAAGTCAACAATGATTTTTATTAAATAGACAACCAGAAATAAAACAGAGTTAAACCTTTGGATTATATTGTCATGTGACTAGTTGTTTTGTTTTTTCAGTCCTTTGAGATCTGTTGGTATCCCGGAGGGTGAAATGTTTGCAGTTCAATGGCAGCATAAGTTTGAATGAACAGGCTCATCGCACTATCATCATGTGAATGTGATCAGTGTTTGCAGCGGGTGATCATGTTCTTGTATAGGTCTCACTGGAAACATGCTGATTCAGCTCCAGGCAAGAGCAGGTGAAAACTACACAGAGACAAACCGCAACACTAAAGGGTTAAAATGAGCTGATCAGTTTTATCCTCAGGCTGATCTTTATGGACTGAGTTAGATTTGGTAGATGTTTGGTTCATGCATGGTGTCTGTGAGCGCAACGTGAACATTTATCACCCCAATCAGAGGCTGGTTATAAGGAACTTTTTTTTTTTTACTGAAATCCATGAAGTCCATGATGAGGCAGGAAACCAGAAATAAAACAGCCAGAGTTACACCTGTTTTATTTTGATATTCCCTCACTCCTCATCTATTCCCAGGTGTCTCCTCGTGTCTATTTAAACTCTCAGTTTGATTCTGGTCTTTGTCGTGTTTTCCTTCATGCTATCTGCCTTGTGCGTTTAAGGGGTTCCTCCTTAGCCAACACGTTCTCACTGTTAGTGAGTTTGTAGATTCTACATAGCCTGTGTCATTTTGTCTTATGTTTGTTTTATGTTTATAATAAAGCTGCTGACTTTAACTGACAACAACAACAAAAAAAGTCATCAGAACCCAGAGCAAAGATCGTTCTCCGTAACCCAAAATGACTATTTAAAACTTCAAAAGTTCAACTTCAAAAGTAAGGTGACTGGTCAGAGTCAGTCACATTTATATATCCATCTGTCAGTGGTTCACAGTCTTTGTAAGTGGGCTTCAGGAGTTCTGACTATGTGCATCAAAGCAACAACAGAAAGGTTTTCATCCTTTTCTTTTCCCACCTTTGGCTTTGACGGACAGCTTTAACTCAAAGCAAATCTGATTGCCTCAACTTCATGTGAACCCGACATCTCATTAGTTTTAACATTTGAGCTGCATCTGTTTCACTTGTACCAGTTGCTGTAAGTCTTCTGTGTTGCAGCAAGATTAGATGAAGATGTGGCTGACAGAGATTTAAAAACCACCTGCCACCATTATTGCTCTCCAGTAGCACATAAAGACTTCACCCTACAACATAACACTTTGTGCTTCTGCATTAAATCAACACTGTAGGTACATAGTAACAGCACCGCACTGCAATGATATGATGAAGCTTAAACTTCAAACTGGTACATGATAAAGGATGACTCAAATTGCAAAGGACTCTGTGCTCGTTCTCCCCACTGTTTCACTTTGTTCACTGTCGAAAGTCAAACTTCTGACAGTAAAATATTTTATTGTATAAAACAATAAATAAAATGCAAACAAAATCAAAAGTACATGACACACACAACAAATAAAAACCCACAAAAACATTCACACTAAGCTTTAAAACAATCACCAAACACAGCAGAGGATTTAGCTCATCTTCATTAATTTAAATGACCTTGGTCTACATAACAACTTAACCCACATGGAAATAATAAATGGTAATAAAATTGTTGAGAAGAATAGGAAACAACTATGGCAGTAATTGTCACAGTTCCTGACTCTGTTTTTTGAGTTTGTACCTTTTTTCCATTATATTCTAAGTTCTGGTTCTGGAAGTTACGTGTTCAAACCAGACTTGCCACAGTCGTTACTTTTTGGTTTCTGTATCATGTTTATGTTTCCACATCCTCATTTAGTTTTACATGTGTCTGTCTTTGGCTTCAGTCCTTCATTTTGCCTCTTGTTCCTTTGCATTCTTGTGGCTATCTTCCAGTTGTGTTGATTATTACTCATTGGCTCCCCCTAGTGGGGAATCTGTGTACATATAAATATAAGATTCACATCCTGGGATTAGATGGTTTTAACATTACTGAATCTGCTGTTCAAGAACGACGTGGTCGCTTTTGGCGCCTTCGTCTTTTTTTGTATTCTAGTAAAATCACAAAGCTAACAACAACAAGAAGTACAACAAAAACTTGCAGAGCAACACTTCCAACCATCTTCCCTCTATCCTTTGTGTGTCCTCCAGTCTGACCTGCAGGTGAGAAACAGGTGTGAGGTGTCAGCTGTCAGGTAGGTGATGAGTGAAGAACAGAACAGAATCCATTTCCTCTTCAAACTGCTGTCAGACATTATCTACTGCACTCTGATCACATCACTCAGACCAGCTGCTTTCTACAAAGTCTCATCAACAACATCTTTAGAAACAAACATCAACAACCAGGAAGCAGCTTCACCTCTGATCACACACACACTCAACTCTACTCACTCACCTGGAGGATCAACAACACTCAGGTGGATGATGCTGATGGGTTCACCACCCAGATTAGCTCTCTTCCTGCGGTTCCCTCCCCTCACAAGGACACGACACTCATATGTTCCAGTGTCATTAACCGTCACATCCTTCAGTATCAAAGACACGTCTCCGTCCTTCATCTGTCTGTCCTGCAGATCCACCCGGTTCTTAAAAGATGGATGCTGGTTGCTTGGAATAACTTTTTCATCCCAGTGAAAAAGGACACGTTCTTGCTCCAGTTCAGGTTGGATCCACTCAACGCCTTTGATGGTTTTATTGTTTGGAGCTTGACATGGTAGAGTGATGTCCTGTCCAGACTCAGCTGTGATGTTTTTCTGGTCTGAAAAAGGAAACGACACATAGCCGAGATGTTAAAGTAACTAAAACAGCATCCAGTGAGACAGAGACCAGAGCAGAGAGCTTTGCTAAGTGGAATCAGGGGCTGTACAAGGAACTGAAATTCATGAGTAACTGCACTGTTTTGAACTTAAATTTCCCGTTTTCATTGGCACAAAGGTGGCTCTATTTTAATCCAGTTCATTTTAATTTGATTTAATTTCATCTTTATAGCCAAAAATTCCAACAACAGTCACCTTATGGGACTTTATATTGTAAGTTAAAGATACTTTAATAATACAGAAACTCTAACAATCAGACGACCACCCTGTGAGCAAGCGCTTTGGCAAAAGCAGGCTCAGGGAGGTGCGGCTAATTTGAGTTGAGGGGAGAAGGACAGGACAAAAGACATGCTGCAGAAGAGAGCCAGAGATTAATAGTAACAAATACTTAAATGCAGAGAGGTGTACAAACACATAGTAAATGAAGTAAGGAGATTGGAATGAAACTGAATGGACTTCTTTGAGATTTTGAAGATGTTTGAGAAGAAGCTTCTCAGATGAGAGGGGAAACGTCTTCAAGAAACACAAAGAGGTCCAGTCGCTTTTCTTTCTAATCTCCTTAGATTACCATGAACTGGATGACTGAGACGCTTCACAGACATAGTGAGTGAAGAAGAAACACTGAGTGATCCATAGGAAGGTCTCACAACAACAATTGTGAGGATTCAGGGTCACCTGGTCCAGCCCTAACTATATGC